AGGGCTGGTGGAATAGCTCAAGGTATAGGCCCTGAGTTTAAACCCCAGTCTGTAAAAAAAGAAAAAAGAAAATTAGGACATATACTAGAGGGAAATTTGTCACACATAAATCAATATTAAAAAATCAATATTAAAAATGAGAATGACTCTCTAATCAATGATTTCACATCTAGGCATCTTTAAATTTTTGTTTTTGTTTTTTTTGAGACAAAGTCTTGCTATATAGCCCAGCCTGGCTTCAAACTGTGATCTTTCTGTCTCAGCCTCCCATGTGCTGGGATTACAAGTATACATCACCACGCCAAGCTCTGAGAATCTATTTTATAGAAATACATATACACAAAAATTTGTAAGAATGGCCATATGTGCTGGATGCCAGTGGCTCGCACTTGTAATTCTAGCTACTTGAAAGGCTGAGATTGCGAGGATTGAGGTTTGAGGCCAGCCCCCCGCCAAAAAAATTCCTGAGATCGCATTTCCAAAATAATCAGAGCATAATGATTGGAGGTTTGGCTCAAGCAGTAGAGCACCTGCTTTGCAAACCTGAAGCCCTGAACTCAAACTCCAGTCCCACCAATAGAAAAAAAAAGAATGCTTACTGGGGCTAGAGATGTAGCCAGTGGTAGAGCACTTGCCTAGCATGCTCAAGACTCTAGGTTTGATCCACAGCACTGTACACACACACATACACAGACACACACAGACAGATAGACAGACATTAATTAACTAAGGGAAAAATGCTGTAAGACTATATATTCTTACAAGGAAATATCTCCAAGACTTATTAAGTAAAAGGCCAAAGATTTTATATACATAGATAGTGAAAGAATGTGTTATTTGTATATGCATTAAAAAGGTCTGGAAGGCTGCACACCAAACTGTTGATAATGGTTAACTCTGGGGAAAGGAGTGTTCGGTTATTGTTATAGGTTCTATGTTGTTTGCAAACACATTTAAAATATTATAATTTACCTGGGTGTAGTGTTTGTCAACAGTCCCAGCTACTTGGAAAGCTGAGGCAAGAAGATCCCTTAAGCTCACAAGTTCCAGACCAGTGTGGACAACATAATGGGACCTTGTCTCAAAAAAATTATAATTAAGTCAGGTGTGGTGGCACATGTTTGTAGTCCCAGCACTAGGGAGCTGGAGGCAGAAGATAGGAGTTCAAGGTCAGCCTGAGCTATATGTGAAGACCCTACCTCAACTAAGACCATGAAAAAATTGTAATTTAAACTACTATAGAAATTTCTGAAGGAAAAACTGTATTATTTTAACATCCAACACTCAATATCATGACTACTATGAATAACATAGTATAAAAAATTTAATTGACACGTAAGTATAAGTAGATATTTATGGAGTACGGTTGGTAATTTCAATACATGTATATAACATGTCATGATGAAATTGGGGTAACAAGCATTTCCATCTCCTTAAACATACGTCATTTCTTTGTGTTGGGAGCCTTTGAATTCTTTTTTAGTTCTTTTTATTGTTAAAATTTTTTCATTTGTTGTCTTTTTTTAGTTATTTATAAAATACATAATTAATTGTTACAAACTACAGTCACCCTATTGTAGAATATTTCATCTAACTTTGGTTTTTGTGCCTATTATTCAATCTCCCTCTTTCCTCCCTTCTGTCTCCTCTTCCTAGCCTCTAGGGACCACTATTCTACTCTCTACTTTTATGAGATCAACTTTTTTTGGCATTATTGGGGTTTGAACTCAGGGCCTTGTGCTTGTCAGGTAGGCACTCTATCACTTGAGCCATACCCCCCAGCCTTATATGAGATTAACTTTTTTTTTTAAGTTTCCATACAAGTAAGAAAATATTTTGTCTTTCAATACAGTATCTTTTAAAAGAAATATTTCTGATATTCATCTTTTAAATTAATTATTTTGAAATCAATCAATTTACAAACCCATATACATTAAAAAATATCTTTTCAGCCGGGTACCATGGCTATATTGCACTTCTAGCTACTTGGGAGAATGGCAGTTCCAGTCCAGCCCAGGCAAAAAAAAAAGTGAGACCCCCATACCAATGGAAAAAAGCTGCATGTGGTGGCCCTTCCTTGTCATTCCAGTGATAGCAGGGGACATAAAATCGGAGGAGTGTGGCTCAGGTGGACCTGGGCAAAAAGCAAGACCCTATCTTCAAAATAACCAGAGCAAAAAGGGCTGGAGGTGTAGGCTGGAGTGGTAGAGCCCCTATCGAGCAAGCGTGTAAACCTTGAGTACTAAATCCCAGTACCACCACCAGAAAAAAGAAAAATACTTTGATTTGCAGTATCTTTTAGTATGTCTTTTTTTTTTTTAATTGCCGAATCTCTTAACCAGTACTGGCTAGTTCCTTTGAGTTGTCGTTTTGTTGTTGTTGGAGACAGGCTGGAGGAATCCTTGATCCTCCTGCCCCTGCCTCCTAAGTCTTTGAGTTGCTTTCTTTTTTTTTGGTAGTTGTGGGGATGGAACGGAGCCTTGCACTTGCACATGCTAGGCAAGCAATCTACCAATGAACTACATCTCCAGCCCCATTTTGAGTTGCTTTCTAAAGAACACTCATTTCCCTCCTCATCTTTTTCCATTCTCCCTGACCAACCCCTTTTATGTGCAACTCACCACTGCCTGGTGTCACCTTTCCAGTCCATCTTTCCAAACTAGGCCTCCTTTTCCCCATAGACAGTGATATCATGACTTACCTATGCATTGTGTCTGTTTCCCAACTAAACTATAAAATATGGTAGGGCTGGTTCTGTTTTGCTGACCAACTAGTGGGTGGCATACAGAGAACTTTAAAGACCAAAAAGAACTGGTGGAGGTCAGTGGGGGCATTGCAGACTGGGAGAAATACTAGCAAAAGTGATGGATAGAGGATAGCTATAGTGGCAGACATCATCCTTCCCAGCTACTTAGGAAGCAGAGGCAAGGAGGATTGCTTGAGCCCAGGGAAGGATGGGGAGAGGTTGATCAATGGGTACTCAGTCACACTTAGGTAGGAGGAATATATTCTGGTGTACTATTATTGTACACCTATTGTACTGTCGGGTGACTATAGGTAATGACAATGCACTATATATTTCAAAAAAGCTAGAAGAAAGGATTTTTGAATGATATCATTTATCATTTGAAATGACAAAAGTTTGAGTAGATATACTTATCTAATTTGGACATCACACGGTGTATACATGTAACAAAACATCATATGCTACTCCATAAATATTTACAATCTTTTTTTTAGTGGCACTGGGGCTTGAACTCAGGGTCTTATGCTTGCTAGGCAGGCACTCTACCACTTGAGCCCCTCCTCCAGCCAACTTTTAATGTGCTAAATGAAAAATAAATTTAGCAAAACTACACAGGGAGATGTGCATAGGTTACATGCAAATACCATAAGGGATTTGAGTACCTGTGGATTTTGGGACCTGTGGATGTGGGGTGTGAGGGATGTAGTAAGTATGGGAAGTTAGGGAGTGGGGTTCCTGCAATCAATTCCCCAAGGATTTATATGCACAAACCCCAGGATATAAAAAAATGCATGTACATTCTGAAGAGCTTGATAATTCTTTTGTTGCTGTTCAGGATTTAGGATCAAAATACAAAAAATTGGTCTGGGGGTGTAGCTCAACTGTAGAACACTTGCCTCACATGTTTGAGGCCCTGGGTTCAGTACTCAGCACTGCAAAACAACAACAAAAACAACACTTCCCCACACCCCACTCCAAACTTTTATGGGTCATGTTTCTTATTATTTATTTGTCCTTTTTGGAGCAGATGTCCCTTTTCCAGCTGGGAATTTGTGCAGTAATAATAATAAATACTAGTTATTGAGATAGTTGCTGCTATCAGGCACTTTTCACAATTAACCTATTTAACCCTCATGACATCTGAAGAGGCAAAGTAATATTATTCCCCTTTCCAAAGGAGCAAAGTGGAGTGCACCCCATGTACATCTGGTTTCTTTCCTTGAATGTCGTGCAGATTTGGTTATCTAAAGATCAAAATAAGATTGAAAAACTCTCCTGAGTCTTTTTTTTTTTTCATGTGTGAAACAAGGACACTGATGAAAGATAACCCTAAGTCAGCCTTGAACTTCAGTCTTCAAGCTCAAGCCTTTCACAAGGAATCCCATGACCACGGCTGGTCAATAAGTCAATATAGGAGTGCTGGAGAGAGGAGAGCACATATATATTTTTGCAAGAGTACTGGTAGCAATGTGGAGGATAGCTTAGAAGACGGAAAAATAAAAGGCAAAAATAGTGAAAGCATACTGTAAAAGTACAGGAGAAAACCAAAGATGGCCTGAACTAAGGCAATGATAGAGGAGTGGAGAGAAATAAATGAACGCGAAGCTTGTATACATTTGGGAGCTTATGAACACTGTGTGGCTAGAAAGAGAAGTTCTGACTTATCTTCCTGTTTCTAGGTCCTGATCCTTTTATTTTCTGATGGCACTGGGGTTTGAACACAGGGCTTCGTGCTTACAGAGCAGGCGCTCTACGGCTTGAGCCAGCCACACTTCCACTCCACTTCACTATGTCTATTTTGTAGACGCAGGTCGCGGGCACTATTTGTCTAGGGCTGGCCTCGGACCGTGATTCTCCTGATCTCAGCCTCCCAAGTAGGTAGGACTGCAGGAGTGAGCCACGGATGTTGGGCTCTGAGACTTTCTTTAATCCTAGTGGGTGAGTAGGAGCGCAGCAGCGTCCGGATTGCGCGCGCAGTCCCCGCAGAGTTGCAGCGGGTGCGGGATACAACACGCAGAACGCAGCGGTCCCAGGAGACCAGAGGCACAAGCAGCCCGCGCACCTGGGGCAGGGGGCGGGGCCTGGGTGGATAGGGGGCGTGCCCTTGGGGAAGGGGGCGGGACCACTTCCTCCGGACTGGTTTGTCCCATGTTGCAGTCCGTAGCCTTCAAGAGTTGCCGCCCCCTGTCCGGGAGTGGTGGAGATTCGATCATGTGACAGCCAGGAGGCCGGAACTGAAGCAGGTTGCGTGAAGCACAGGATTTTGACAAAAACAAACAGCGACGTCGCTGAGGCAGGGTGTATGGCCGAGGCGGTGAAGCCCCAGCGCCGGGCCAAGGCCAAGGCCAGCCGGACTAAAGCAAAGGTGAGGACTCGCCCGGCTCTCCCCAGGCCGTGTCGGGAGGCTTTGCCGCCCTTCCCGCTCCTCCGCCTCGAGCCGCCTCTGCTCCGGTTCCCCGAGCCCCCTGCATCCTCCGTCTCCACTTCCAGTGTCTGGTCCCACCGTCCACTGGCCTCGGCCTCCCCTCCATTCCTCCATTCTTCCTCCACCCCCGCTGGCCTCGCTGTCAGGCCTTCCCTCTCCTCTGACCTCGCCTGGCTGATCCTTTTCTGCTCGCCTCTCGGCTTTCCTCACCCAGTCTGGTTTCATGCTGTGAAGCAGCTTGTTTTTCTTTCCAGCCTCATTTTTGACTTCCTTCTTTGTAACGTGGGAACATTTTCAGCCCTTCCCATACATGAACAGAGAGGGACTTTCCTTCCTTCCTTCCATCCCGGTCTGGCAGAGCTTTATGGGAGGCGACAGATAGAAAGTAGAGATGTGCTAGTCCTCTCCCCTCAAAATTCAGGGCAGTAGTGATGCTCTGCTGTTCATTTCTCAAGATCCTGGTTGTTTACGATGAGGCACGAATGTCCAGAAATGGGGACATACTTGAATTTCCTGTATTTCTTGAATTAGACTACATGTGATACTATTTTTTTTTTTCGGTACCGTGGCTTGAATGCAGGTCCTACACCTTGAGCCATTCCAGCCCTTTTTGTGTTAGGTATTTTCGAGATAGGGTCTCGCGAACTATTTGCCCGCCTGGCTTCGAACCGCGATCTTCCTGATCTCTGCCTCCTGAGTATCTAGGATTACATTGGCGTGAGCCACCGGCGTCCGGTTTAAGTTGGTTTGTTTTTAGGTGCAGCCTAGATTTTATTTTCTACAGCGAACAGATTAAATACTACCCCTAGATGGCCAGACCTAGATGATTTTGGCTTCCCTGAAACAATTTACATTAAGGAAACAATGGTATTGAGGATGGTATTACAAATACAAAAATTTCCTTTCCTAGAACTGGGTGATGTTTCTGAGCAGGGGTAACATAAACAGGACATCATAATCTGATTTTTTTTTTCATGGGAACAAGGTTTTAACAGTGATTCATAGGGCCCTTATTTAATAGACTGTAAGTAGCACCCTGGGTCCCCTTCATTGTGATGTCTTTTTATAGGGCTGTGTGGACACAGACACATCAGTGTACTTGGGTCTGAGGGGAGTTACTCTTTGGTTGAGAAAGCCATTTTGGTACCTAATTTCAGAAACATTTTTTTAAGAGAAATAATTTTTCATTGTTTTGGCTTGGTGAAGAACTATCCAGGCAGGAGAGGAAGGAAAAAAGCCATTGGCCAGCCATAAGTAAGATCCCTGAAACTAGAGCACTGTAGCACATAATATAAGAGCATCAGCCATCTGCAGAGAGCTGAATCTTAACGTGAACCCCCCCCTCCCATGCTAAATTTATGAATGATAGTCCCAAATCATGCATTTAACAAGAGAACTCAGGTTAAAGCCCAAAATTCTGGCTCTTAATCCAATAGCTTAAAAATTATTTCATATATTTATATATCTCTTACCCATTGATAATGCCAAAAACAGTCACTAAAGAGGATTCTTTCTCAAGTTATTTTGTTTAAAACAGAACTTCTAAATTAAAAATAAACAATCCTGAGGCTTTAAATATCACATGGAAATCTAATTGCTTATTTTATTGACACATTTCAGGACGCCTAGGATTACAGGCATGCATGCTTGCATGCGCCACTATGCCTGGCTGGACTGATATTTTAATTTAATTAAATCCTGTAATTTTTTTGAGACTGGATCTTGCTTGGTAGGCTGGCCTTGAACTCAACATCCTCCTGCCTTATCTTTCTAAGTGCTGGGATTACAATACCAGGCAGCCACCATACCCAGTTGAATTGATATTTTTAAACACAAAACTGACCATGTTACTCTCCTTAAAACCTTTCAAAGATTTCCCTATCCCTCAGAGACTAGTTTGAAGCATTAGTTAAGGACCCTGCATGACCTGGCCTCGTCTTCTTCCTCAGCTTTACTTCTGTCCTTCAGGACCTTTGCATATGCCATGTCCTCTGCCCTACAACCCTTCCAAGCCCTGTTCATCTAGCAAACTGCTGCTGTTAGAATGAAAGAACTGCGCAGAATGGATAACCAGGAAGGTAGCTCATATGCCAGCACAGGGTTTATTATGGAGAAGTGGCCCTATGGAGGGGGACCCCAGCAAGAGAGCTGACTGGGGGTTGATAAAGGATATGAGTGGAGAAGCCCCGGGAAGGTCACCGGATGTGATAATCCTCAATGACCGTCTGATCTTCTGGAGGTAATGGCTTACAGACAGCTCTAGGCTAGCTGGGGAGTTTCTAGCAAATGGCTCAAGGAGGATGACTATTTCCTTTAGGGCTGGGTGGAGAGTTTTCAGTAAGGCACCTTCAAGGGTGAGGGGGTCCAGTTCCAACATGGCTTCTTTTTGTTCCCCTAACACTGCTCACTGTTCACCTTAAATACTTATTCAGGAATAAGTATTCCTGAATACTTATTGTGTTACTCCCCCCTCCCTCCAGTAACTGTATCCCCTTTGTACTGTACCCCTCATCTCACTGGAGGTTACTTTGCCAGCTTCTCTGTCCTTCCTTAGTTGGTGAACTCACTGAAGGAGGGACCTGTCTTATTCTCAGTATGCCTCACACCTCCTGTAGTCATTTGGTAATGTTGATTGAAAATAATCAGTGTCAGTATTGAAGCACATTTCCAGCTTTTGTCACTTAAGAATTTAATAGAGTTTCTCAGACTAATGTGAGAAAACAAATAGGAAATGCCAGCATGAGCAAGGCCCTCGTGCTTGTCAAAAAAATTCTTTTTTTTTTTTTAGAATAAAAGATGAATGTGTTAGTGCAGGCTTGGTTTGGCAATAGTTATAAAGTACTGTATTAATGAAGGCTTTACCATCTGTGATATAATTTGGCATCTTTTAAAGCAGTAAAGAAATTCCAAGGCTCAGTTCAGGAAGTGCGTAGGTCATGTGCCATTGTCTTTAGACAGCTGTGCCTTCTGGATTTTACTCAGGACCTGACCTACATTCCTCAATATTAATCATCTGGTAGGTGACCTCATGTTGAAGTCATGGTTAGGTAGCTGGTCTTTAGCACTAGATACCTTAGAGATAGTCTTGATAACATTTTTGTTCTTTTAGTATCATTCTTCGCTAAAACATTCCAACTCTGAGGACCCTGACTTCATTGATCCTTACAAATTGTGGATTAAGAAGAATAGACTGGGTAGAGAGGGGAATATGGATAAGAAAGAGTAATATATGGTGGGAATATGATTAAAGTATATACATGTAACCCTTTGTACAATTAATACACACTAATGAAAAAAGAAGAGGTTCTTAGATTTTGACTTATTCTGCAGAGGTAGTGAAATCCAGGAATGAGGCAGAAATTAGTTGGGTCACAGTTTGAGGACGGCACTGGCAAATTTGAGGCCCTGTCTTGAAAAACTCAACAGGGCTTGTTGAGTGGCTCAAGTGGTAAAATGCCTGCCTGACAAGTAGGAGGCCCTAAGTTCAAGCCTCAGTCCTGCTCCCACCCCCCAAAAAAACAGTGAGTACTGTTGAGAGACTAGAATGGTGTGCAATTTTAAATAGGTGGACAGGGTAGTCCTTATTGAAGGGGACTTTTAAGTAAAGACACAAAAGAGATGAAGGAGTTTGCTATGTAGGTATTGAAAAGTATTCCTTATGGAGGGGGCAGTTGGATCAAAGGCCCTAAGATAGTGACTTTTGAGTTTCTGTCCTATGGTTAGAATGGAGTTGAAACTGGAGTTTTGGACCCAAGCCCCAAACTCTGGGATACTACATGCCAGGCCTGGCTTATGGCTCTGGACATGCTGTGGCAGAGTAAGCACTCAGCCCATCTTATCTTCAGCCATCTTTGGGGCACAGACATGAGCTGTAGGTTTAAGTAGACAAAGGGACAGGGAACAAAAGGTTTGCATAAACAGGTCCAGTCACAGGTGTGCCCTGGTTGGTTATTATCTCAGTCCTTGTTTTGGGAGAGGTTCTGGAGTCGTTATCTGGAGGGTGGGCCATCCTGAGGAGCCTCTACTATTAGGGGTAGTTTCTGTCCCTTGTCATGGAGAAGTTGTCAGTTCTGTCTTTGCTGGAATCCAAGGTGATTGCAAAGTAACTGCAGAGAGTGGCTTAGAGGGAAGACAGGTATAAAATATAGACAGATATGCCAAGCTTTTCTCCTGCTTTTAGTTGATTCATGGGCCCAAAGAAGAAGTGAGTGCTTTTCAGTAAAAGCAGTTTAAGTACTTCTTAGCGAGTGAGTGAGTGAATGAGGGGGGAGTAGTAAGGATGAAGTTAGAAGAGTAGGCCCTTGTAAAGACTCTAGCTTTTACTCTGAGTGACATTTAAAATCACCTCCAGGTTTTGAGCACAGGAGGGACATGATCTGACTTATGCTTTCAGAGATCACTCTACTTTGTTGAGAATAGACAGTCTACTGTACATTTACAGGGAGATGTAGAATGGGGTTGAATATGAGACTCTAGTTTTCCAGAGAACCTGAGGAGAGATCCTGAGGCTGGAGATGGAGATTTGCAAGTCATTAACATATAGATGGTATTTAGCCAGAAACTGAATTAGGTCACTTTGGGAATGAGACTAGGTTTAAAAAAAGTGACAAGAACTGAGCCCAGTGGCACTCCAGTTATGAGATGGGGGAGAAGGAGACCAGACCAGCCAGGCAGGATGTGTTCTCACTGTCCTTCACCTAGAGAGTGGTGCCATAGAAGCTGGGTAGAATGTAGAGAGGAGGAGGGAGAGATCAAGCAAGCAAAGTGTTAATGATACAGGAAGTGAGGCTGGTAAGAGCAATATCAAAGAGGTAGTAACCAAGGAGAAACAGTAGTTATAGCAAAATGTACAATCCCCACAGTTTTCTATGTGTGTAGCATTCTTGTATATTTCCAAGAAAGATGGAAAAATTGTCCCAGGAGTGTTTGATCTGACAATT